ATTGGAGTCATATATCTAAATATAGCCATATTATATATACGTATAGCACTAGTGATAATTATTATGATTTACATATCCCATATAAACTAATTAACCAGCCTAGCTAGCTAGCTAGCTTGATGCTGGAACATTCATCCTCTCTTGGGTCCTCCTCACTGAAAGACAGGCATATATACTCGAGATGTCTGATGGCTAATTCTCTAGACTACGCGGTCTTCTCATGTCATTATAATTCTGTTCCATACGGAAAAATTGGTCATTATTGCATTGGAGTTTTGTGAATTGGACAGTCGAAACAACAGTGATACTATTCAAAGTTATACCACTATTTTGTGGATCTACCTAGATACAATATGCTGACCATCACATTTAACAACGTAACTTTCAATTTGCAACAACGGGATTCCAATTTGCTAAATTTTATGTGTACTTTATAGTAACTCGGCTAAGTTAATGGAGGCTTGATTAAGTCTATATCCGACGTATTTTTGTTTAAGTACTTAACTCTCGTATGAAATTTTATTTTAAAAAAAAATGTGTACGATTCGATTTGTTGATGTATTATGATAAACAAGAGAAGCGCATACAGACAAGTAATTAAAACCCAAATATTATCTTCATTAATTTCCCCATAAGAACATTCGTATGAGTATACATATGAAGTCATTTATTGGTACAACAAGATCACAAATTAGACGAAAAATACTGGAAACTTATTATTAGACACCAACGTCACGTGAAAAAGGAAGGAAAACCGAAACTACCCATACATGCATGCACGTAGCACGTTTGGTCGTCGAACTAATAGATGCTTAATTAAGGGCATTGGAAGCCAGATGGAACCTTCTGGTTACAGGCATTGAGAAGCAAGCTAAGAGAGACTGGAACGTTGAGGTTGATCCCGAGGATGTTGGCTTTAATGGCGGTGCAAAGGCAGACGGCGGCTTCAACATCAACGAGCCCATTGATCAAGCTACAGCAAGGTTGAACCGGTGGGCTCCCGAGCTTCAGATTGAGCAGATTGGCAAGCACATCGGCGCAAACGCCCAGCTTGAGTGCATCAATCGGGCACTTCCCGCCGCCGCCGGTGGAAGGAGTTGTAGGGCTAGGAGGAGTTGGTTTAGGGGTGGACGGAGTTGTAGGGCTAGGAGGAGTTGGTTTAGGCGTAGGTGGAGTTGTAGGGGTAGGAGGAGTTGGTTTGGGCGTAGGCGGAGTTGTAGGGGTAGGTTTCGGATTAGGGCAGCCACCACCGCAGGCAGAGGCCATGGAGAAGAAGAGAAGGTTGAGAGCTAAGAAGAGAGCCATGGCCGAGCTGGTTTGGGAAGCCATGTTTTGATAATGTTGTCAAGCAAAAGGTTTGCTACGCTTGCTTAAGCTAAGTGAAGAAGAGATTTGGTGGTTTGGGAATGAACCCTGGGTGGGGTTTTTATAGGACTGGATTCTAGAATTAGAAAGGGCATGAAGTCATCATGCATGTATTTGTGGACTTGTGATTATTGTCTTGTATTCAGGGCCAAGTTTTGGAAGCTTGTTGGTCGACTACTGAGTATCAATAACAACTTGTCATGCATGTTCCCACCTGCTCTTGCTTGGAGATTTTCACAATTAGATTTTGTCTTTTATGACGTTGGTGTTGGATATTTGTTTATATATGGTATAAAGGTAAAGTTTGTAATGGATTCTATTCTACTTCGGTTCGGTGCACTCACTTTTTTTTTCATTCACTGCATCCAATATTAAAAGTGGTCAAAATAAATCAAATTTTGAAATTTAATTGATAGTATTAGTATGATGATATAATATAAAATAAAAACTAATTAAACTATTATCGTAACCCCTTAACCTTCGATTTTCAATCCCAACCCAAAACCTTAAATGATAAACCTAAATCCTAATTCTAAATCTTTTAAATTAAAGTAAATCTTGTATGAGTTTTTTTTTTTCAAATTCATGTGTTTCTTTTTCATAACATCATAAGCGACGATTGATATTGTTTTGACATGAATCTCATGCTCGGAATGACGATTATGAGGCGAGTGCACTGAATGCAACCAAAATGGGTGCACCGTATATATATATATACATATGTGTGTGTGTGCACTCGCGCTTCTATGATACCTTGGGTAAAATCAAAGGCCTCACATACCTTGAGTAAGTAACTGATATCTCGAACTTGAATCAACCGGAGTTTGGTATCTGGTACTATTTCCAAACCCTTAAAAATTAAAATCTATGTCTTAGTTCTAGAAATCTCCTACACTAAGAACAATTTAATTAGAAACAAAAATCAGCGGTTATGATTCATCGAAATATATGCAACAAATTACATACATGATCTTAGGAGTTAGACTTTATGATTTAGATAATTAAGACCTAGGGTTCACTCATCAAGGGTTGTGATATAGTATCGTGCCCAAATATTCGGTTAATTCGAGGTCTAAATACCATTTTCTTACTCATGGTATGTCGTACCCTAGATTTTATTCAATCTACGCATAGAAGCTAACATATATCCATATATGGGTCAGACTCGTATGCTCCAGACGCATAGCATGCTCCAAATTTTCTATACCGTTGATTTAATCTAACGTCCATAATTAATTATAATAAAATTGGTTAATTATTGAAAATTATAATTGCCAATTATACCCATTAAATAATCATATTTACATTATATTAACCCAACTTTGTTTCTTTGTATAAACACAACCATCTTATATAAACACAGTCGTTTGCCATAAACAAAATCTCCGTTCTGTAGTCTTATTGGTATGAATCAAACTCTCGAATGAAACAAAAACATACAAGAACAGAAAATAAACACAAAAGCAAACCAAGCACAAATCAATAAAATATCACTTCCTTTTACCTCTCAAGCACTCAAAACAATAGTATTAGGAGCCTAGTGACCCGAATACCAGCCCTTCTACTATGCTATATAGCATTGGTGCTTTAATGTACAACTAAAGTTGTACCATAACATTAAATGTATAAGTCCAGGTTGTACCATAATGGAATTTGTACCATTATGTTATGGTACAACTTTACAACTTGAAATTGTAACATCACATAAGAGTACAAGTTCAAGTTGTACGATAAAAGAATTTGTAAAAAAGTATAGGTACAATCTGAAGTTGTACCATAACGTGAAAAGTACAATTTCAAGTTGTACCATAAAGACAAAAACCTATAGTACCAATGCTACATAGCATTATAAAATTCCTCCCCCGAATACGTGCTTCTCTATAATCATCTCCACCATTGAAGTCTTGAAATCGTGGTCCGGATCGCTCGAGCATTTCAACAACGCAAACCTCCCCTTCACTTTCCTTTCCAATGGCAGCATCCTTTTTACAACCTATAGCGTTTTTGATAGCTTTGGCGATGCAATTCTTTGATGATGATCAGTTGCCGATTTTCCCATCTCTTGGTTTTGCTCCCCAAATCATGATTTTCATGGTGACGAGGTTTGCGGCGGCAGCAGGCAGGGAAAATCGGCGAATCTGAGGAGATGCTGCTTGAGGAGAAAAACTGAGCATCGAATTCATCATCGTTCCAATTTCGTAATGCCTCCCAACAATAGCAATCAATTTTGCCCCTAAGTCTGCACTAAATGTTTGTACGAATCCAGTAAAATCCCTTCAACACCATGGAACTGGCCGCCAATTTGAAAGCAGATTCGTTAGGAATTCCCCTTTCCCTATCGCCGCGAAGACCAAGACATAAGAAAACGAAATTGTCCTACCTAGAAGTGGTTTTAAGCTCAGAACGACTAAATTGCCCAGGAGGCGTAAAAAGAAACTCTGCAGAATGGAATCGGAGAGCCAGTTCTTTTCAATAGTTCAGTTCTTTCCAACAGTTCGTGGGTTTGGAGGTGGTGATGTGTTTTAGCCTTTTGGGAACATCGAAATAGTTTTAATGGACAAACTTATAACAAAATGTGGGTACTTAAACCTACAAGGTATTTTAATAGTAAGACTAATGGTTAAAATTTTTGGAGGACTATAATGTATGTCTAATTATTAATGGGTATTATAATTATTGATAAATAATAAATTAAATCAGATTTAATAACGAACGTTAGATTAGATCAACAGTGCACTCGTAAAAATGAGTGCGTTCAATGCACCCAATTAAGAAACTAGTTTTAAGGTGTCGGATTTTGTATTTTAATTTGTAGGATTAGTGTAATATGATGATATAACATATCATAACAACTAATTAGCGGATTGCCCTAAACCTCCAATTTTGAGTTCTATCCCTAAATCCCAACTTGTAAACTCTAACCCTAAATCTCTAAACTCTAAATCCTTCAAATTAAAGTAAATCTTCAATGGTTTTTGTGCAAATTCATGTGCGTTATTGTTCATCAGATCATAAATGATGATTGACATCATTTTGACATAAATCGCATGTTTAAAAATGACGGTTATAAAGTGAGTGCATTGAATGTACTCAAAAAGTAAGTGCACCGAAGACGCCATATATATATATATATATATATATAATATGACTATTAGCCCTTTTATTCCCAATCAATACCTTCCACATCTGTTAAAAAAAAAAAAGTGAAAGTAAACTATGATCTTCAGAAGTATTGGCGAGGCATAAATTTGGACAAAGTCCTCTGAAATCTCAGACTAGAGTCTCATGAAAACAGCGGTTTAGCTAGCAACCATGTATGCATCATGTCGACAACAACAATAAGTGGACAGTATTTTACGAGGGCTTCAACTTCAACCAAATTGTCTGGAGTTCATCCTTTGACCATCTGCTGATGGTGATCGTTGATTTGAACTAATCGAACGAACCTCTTAGGTCGTTAATTATCCAGAAAAATGCCTCAAATGCAAAAGCCTATTTAGTATGGTGATTACTGAGTATTTTGTGTTGTCTTCCGACTAGGTGTATTAGTATGCTATATAGTATGAGTGCTTTATTATCTTTATAGCCCTTAGATCTTGTTATAAATATCAGCCATTGGATTAAAGTTATTAAAAAAAAATTCACCTGTTGGAATGGTGACCTGTTGCACCGGTTCATTGCATAATAATTAAAAAAAAAATTGAAATTCCAGTCGGGTAAAGCGATTGAGCTCGTCGAGAGCCTCTCTTCCGCGGTGGGATTTCAGAGCGTCTCTTCCGCGGAGGGGTTGATTGGCGGCGATGACGATGGCGAAACTGCACCTGAATTATGGCGACAACGATAGCGAACCTGCATCAAGGGGCAATTGCGACGGCGACGCTGTGAGAAGAAAGAGATTGGGGGTTTCAAGTTTGCTCTTCCGCAGTGGTCTCTTTGACGATATTGAAGTGGTTGAGCATCGGCGACGGGAGCGGTGAGATTGGGGTTCGCGGCTGGTCTCTTCTGATTGTGCTCTTTCGTGGTGGGTCTCTTCGTCAATAGTGAAGGGGTTGATTAGCGGGTCACCGGAGGGAAGAATTGGAACAAGATTCAGAGCTGCTTGATTGAGGGAAAAGTCTACTCCAAGTTCTCTTCGACGACGGTGAAGGCGGTGAGCAAAGGGTGACGGCAAGCGAGTGCGACGAGCAGGGTTTTGTGGCGTCTCTAGTCGATAGAGAAGAGGGTGGGCAGGTCGACGGTGAACCAAATTCTAAATTAGGGTTTTCGCGGTGTCTCCTCTCTCGCGATTGTGCTTCGTCGCCTCTTTGTGTGCCGCCGGCGCGAACACAGTTGTGGCTCTGAATTAGGTTGACGACGACACTGTAACTAGGGACTGAGTAGGGGATTCATCGGGTCTTCAATTGGTAGCAGCTTTGCTGTGTTTCTTCGTTCAAGCTTTCAGGTAATAAAGATGATTCTCAGATTCTGAATGTTTCTCCATTTCTCACTTCAAATTCGTCTTCCTTTGCTTGCTACATTTCTCTCATCGTCTGACTAAAAGAACCCCAAACTCGGCCCTCATTTGTAGAGACAACTATTCCTTCTTTTTTCATCATTTTAGCTCACTATAAGTTTCAGTTATGATTGTTCTTGTATAATGCTTCTGGGTTTCATGGAAAGTGTATGAAATATGATGAATTGGATATCATCATTAGGGAGTTGAAGGTTTTCTGTGAGTTTATCGTCAATTGGGTTTGTTTGTGTTTTGCTGCATTGATCATTACCATGGACATTCACAACCTTAAACGATGTTGTTACTTCTGTCTACTTGATAATCCAATCGATTTGTAGTCTTGTATTAGGATTGCAGGTGTCGCAAAAAGACTAGAAATGCAGGTTGTGTTCAATCCTGTACAATCTGGTTTTGTGTTCAATCCTGTACTATCTGGTTATCACTCTCAATGAAATTAAATCCTGTTCAGTTGTAGATAATGACTCGTAGATTGCATGTCAATAGTCTTGGATTAGTGTAGCTGATACTCTCTGCAAAAACTGTTGGTCTATGGTGTTCATGCCATCTTGTATGCCCTCTGGTTTGTGGGGTGATGAAATTGCTTACCAAGACAAAAAGGGAAGAAAGAAAACAAAAAACTCAAATAGAGCATAATAGAGAGATAGTAGAGGTAAAGCAAATACATGTTAATCTCAGAAACTAAAGCAGTCCACGGTTTATTACAGTTGCAAAAGACATAGTGACATATATGAACATATTTTGATACTAGAGCAATCATAGACAGGATTTATATCCTACAAGGATCATACAAATTGACTATTTGCCTGGAGGAGTATAATAGCTGACCTGATTAGTAGGGTTAGAGCACCCTCTATCCTACTTTCCTTTAGTTGTATCGTTCGTCGATTTATCATAAGAATTGTTCTGCATCCAAGTGTTTACTGAAATACACCATGATTGTTTCTGGCTTCCATGTGTTTGATGTTATGTCCGTGTGGAATACTGAACTAGGAAAACAACGAGCCTGAATTACTTAATGCCCCATCCATAGTACGTAATAGTTAATACAGTAGGAGTCCTTTCGTTCTTCTAGGATGCTTTTGTAGTATTAGCATCACCTTAATCGTAACATGTCTATGATTTTGTTGTTTACGTGAGTTGACTTTTATTTTTTGTATTATGTGTAGGGACTTTAATCTGGTAACTCTTTCAGCTGCTACACGTTGGATTTAGAATTCAATTTCTCTTGTGATAGAGCTACAATCTCAGTCTTCCCTTCCAGGCAAGTTACTAAAATCTCACCCTTTTAACTTCAGCCGTGAATTGTTATTCAAGATCGTTAGTCTGTGCCTCTTTGATTTCTACTCGTGACACTTACCCTAATGTTGATTGTGCTTTCGGTCATCACAATTATTACCTGCATATTTGGAAGTAGTTGTCTTTGCTGTATGGAATAGCTACTGTGTGATTGATGGTGTGAATTTATTTGGTACTTTTACGCAATGGATATGCTTGTGCTTTTTGATTGAATGTGTGCATGGTTAGAGCCCGACTTATGCTCTCTTCTATCTATAGTGATGGCAATGTCAGTATAGTGCATTATTGGTGTGGTTAAACAAGTCTATGCCTATCAACCTGCTACATTAAAACCTCAATCGCATATATTATGATTAGAACTATTAACCTAGCCTACAACAATTTGGAATGGATTTGTGCTTCCTAGCCTGTTGAAGTAGAGGTTATGTTCATCCTTTCATTATGAATTATATGTTGTGACGTGCAAGCTGAAGCAATGTATAGAGTAGCACTCAATAATCCTTTCCTTTCATCCTTTCTTATCATTAGTTTACTACCAATCTCAATACTGTTTATCTTAACTATGTATAGAACCTTCTGCTTACAGAACAACACAGAAACCAATCTCAGCATTCCCCCTTACCTGGATTTTGTTCTACTATGATGACTTGCAAGCCGAAGCTAAGAATAGATTCGAGGAAACAATAATTATTTTTCAAACTTTACTAGATATCAATTTTCCCGTCACTATCTTAACTAGTGCCAGAGCCAGAAAATTGACCAAGGGGGTGCTTCCATGAAAAGATGTCACGGCTGTGAAATTTCCAGAATTAGCCATGAGAATGCTTAGTGGGATCTGGGTGTTTTTAGTTTCACGACTTAGTTTAACAGCCGTGATTTATGAAGCCAAAGCCGTGAGATTGCCCGGGGATATGAAAACTGCTCTTTACTTCTCACGTGGCATGTCACGGCCGTGAGAATTGAGAATGAACCGTGTGAACTGTTTAATGAAAGCTGGGTTTTTTGGGTGAAATTTATATATGCCAATGGCGGATTTCATGGTTAATTAGTGTACTCAGGTATTGAGGTAGGGGTTTTCAGTTCTTCTGGTAGTTGGAACTTGATACCGAGGCAAGTGTGTTTGTGAGCTCTGGTATAGTTTTGCATTTTTTTCAATATTGATAAAATCCATATATTGTAAACTAGGATTGAACTCATTACCTGGAGAATGTGTTTACCAAATGATTAAATGATCCTTTTCTAGAATGAAACTATGTCATAACCACGTTTTCTAGAATGTGTTCAATTGTGAAAGTTGCTTCTTTAGATCAGTGGAGGACGACTCTGGCTTTGTATATTTTGTTGTAGTCTTCGGCATGCTTATAATTCGTGTTTCAAGGCATGCTTATAATTTTGTTGTTGTTTTAATTTTGCAGTTTGTTAAAATTGTTCTATAATGAAGATGAAGAGGTATGACCTTTTTAGCACGCGATGTTCTCCGAGGAAAGTATTCTCCCTAGTCTAAAATTTAGAGGCTTGTCAATCAGAGGCCATTAAGAGATGCACTGTGGTCCGATTCTTGAAGTCAAAGGAAGAATGTTACAACGTGAGTTGTTGGAGAAACTTTTAAAGAGCTTTAAGCTGGAAGAAAGCACAATTAAGGCGTATGGGCTGAAAGTGCATATTTCGGCCAAAGGTTTCCAGCGAATTATGGGTGTCCCCGAGGGAGGGACGTATATCGTCTTGGATGGTGTAGAAGTGGTTGGAAGATTCGAGGAACTGAAAGAATTTAGAGTGTATTCGACTCTTGACTGTGATCGACAGGCGATTTCCACAAGCTTAATGCGAAAGACGTTGAATATAAAAGAGAGCAGCGACTTATTTGTTAAAACTTTTATATTTTTCGTAATGGGGGGTGCTATAAGTACCTACTGGAAGAAATGACATTTTGTTATCTTCGGTATACGCTGTCACCGATGTTGTGGACATTCCGAAGAAGAATTGGGCATCCTATTGCTTCAATGAATTGGTGAAATGCATCTGCAACCATAATGCTGATGGGAAAAAGTATATACCTGGTTGCTTGCTGTTTTTGGAGGTAAATAATTGATAATTGACACGCCAAAACACAACACCAAACTGCGACCAAGTGTAATCGCAGTCCCGGAATGTAGTAAAGTGGCAAGTTCTATTATCAACCCGGGGTCTAGATCTACTGCTTACTCAGTGATTATCTATTATCTAGCCAACTAAGTTAAGTGATTGTTGTTTTAAGCAAAAGCAGAAAGAAAGGAGGAATTGGTTCGGTTTTCTCAAGCAAAGAAGAGTCACTCGGGAATGAGTCCCCCTAGCTCCTTAGTTAGTTTCAATTGTAATTACCCTGGGTTGATTTACTGTTGATTAGACTGCGGAAGATCCGACAGTAGCTTGGAATCTCTTAAGCTGACCAAGCCCTCTCAGTCTAACTACCCGACAGACGACTAGTCTTCACCGGGATAGAAAGCTGAAGCAATAAGCATAGAACTCCACTACTGGAATTGGATTCCAGTACAAAGCAGTAGACTGGCTAATTCTCGTATAGCCAATCTCCTACTACCGAATGATGAAGCTCTAACAACCTAATCAGATTCTATCAATCTCAGGTTGCAGCAGAAATCAAGAAAAGCTTATTAGACTTCAATCAGTTCAATAAAACATGCATCATTCGATTAAAACCAAACAGTAATATCATCCCAAGTCATTACAATCAAATTCCTAACACATGGAACTAGGTTTCTTCATACCCAAGTGAGAGAAGGGTTCTACTCCATAGAGAGAGAGAGGAAAATAGAATACAAAGCAGTCATACTCATAACAATGGGAAGAATTTGCTCTGGGATGATGATTTCCACTCCTATGACAATCTCCAAGCTCGATTTGATGAAACCCAGAAAATTGGGAAAAAACCAGAAAATCCCGATCACACGGGCAGGCCACACGGCCGTGTGGCATACCCAGTAGCCCGTGTGAGATCAAAACGGTGCGTTCCGATTAATTGACTTCAGTCTACCTACACGGCCAGGGACACACGGCCATGTGGCTCACCCAGTCTGCCCGTGTGAAGCCTCGCAGAATTCCACACGGCCACATTGCAACTTCACACGGCCGTGTGGGAATTATTTGAGCCTGTGTGAAGGCTTGCATAATCTCACACGGCCACATTGGTTACTTGCACGGCCGTGTGGGTTTTGTGTGTGCCCGTGTGGCTTCCTCAGCGACTCGCCACGCGTCCGATCTTCGTCTAATCGACCCCGAACTCGCTCCCAAGCTTTCATTCACTTACTAGGACCTGAAATATCACAAACAAGCACAACTTAGCATGAAATGGGCCTAAAACACGAGAATCAACACCTCAAACGGCTCCAGAATAGGGGTAACAACATGTGCAATTAACGGTTTATCAATAATCCGTACTTTCTACATATTCGTAATGATTAATCATCATGTTGATTATAGATTTTTTTGTAGTTAATATTCTTGGAGCATGCAAATGGTATTTTCCACACCATTGATGGAAGTTTGGATTTGATGAGTTGGGGGAGCGGAGACGTAGAGTTATTGTTAACGAAAATGGTAAGACTGATAGTGCAAAATGGTATATTTGATTCTTTTGACGAGTTGGAGCATGCTAATGGTACATTTGGTTCCCTTTTTAATTAATTTATAGGTTTCCAGCAGTTCGGGGAAAAGATCATCTGAGGATTCAGGTTTGAAATCACCTCCAAGGAAACGGGGAAGAAGAGACGCGAAACGGCACAAAACCGACGGGGATGAGCTGCTTCTTTGTGAGCATATTGATGCTCGGTTTAGTACCATGGAGGCTAGAATTGACAACTTCATTCAAGAATTTAAAGTCGCAATGGGTGGTGCTGCTTGTATAGATGAGGAGCTAATGGGTCGGGTTATGAAAATGGAGAATGAATTTCGGGCATTTAGAGACGAAATTGGTACTGTAGTGAAGTCAATTATAGAGGCAGTGAAAGCAACTACAGGTGACCCGTTGTCAAAGGAGCAGCCTACTGAATTGAAAAAGAACGATCAGAAGGATGCGGATGATAATGTGAAAGCTTCTGCAGCTGTTTTGTTGTCAACGGAGCAGCTTATCAGAGGGGAAAAGGGCAATCAGAAGGGTGAGGTTGAAAAACCAAGTGAACCCATTTCTCCTACCTCTGAATGTGTCAAGACTCAAAGGTTAGGTGTTAAGAATTGGGGAGAGGCTGAGGGGGAAATTGGAGATGACAGCTGTTCTGAATCTCTTTCTGTCAAAGTTGTGAAAAAGTCTCCTTACAAGCAGGCGAAAGCGTCTAAAGTTGAGAAATTCATACTGTTGAGTGATGAAAGTGTTGCTGCTAATGATCGTTGTGCCAAGACTGTGAAGGTATTACACTTGATTAAGTTTTCTAATTATTTGTTCTTATTGTGTTTACTAATGAACTGGTTTTGTTTTAATGCTTTTGAACAATAAAGGGGCGAAAGGGAGGTGGACTACGTAGTGTATCTAAATTGAAGCCTAGTTTGTATGTGGTCTCTCCATTCGAACGGGCAAATCCCAGAGCTAAGAAAGCACAACCTTTGTACCTTGATCCTCCCTTTGTTGTTAAGACACCATTGACTCTGGAGGCAGTAAAGATGATTCAATTTGCTTTTAGTAGTAAGCTTCCCGAAAGGTACCTCCCGAAATCATTACAAGTAAGATTGGATCATATTTGTAGGATGTTTTTGGTATTTGCCTTATTCTAATGTTGTGGTGTTTGAACTTGGTCTTGTATTACAGTGACATATTGGTTAGTCTTGATGGCGGGGTTCTTTCCTTGCTCCGTGAAAATTTGGTCGAGCTTTTGCCCAAGACCAAACTTTCGATGAGGGTGAGTTCCTTTATGTGTGTAATTTAGTAGATTGAACTTGTATTGCTGACTTTGGTGTATGTGATGATTATGCATTAGATTATAGAAATGGCGTGTCTGTGCAAGACACTAGAAGAACGAAGTTGTGGTCGCAGTGGTGGATTGTCTTGGTTCTTTCCACCTTCAGTTTCGGTACAGTTGTCTGCTTTGTCTATTCTTGTCATGAAATTAATCTATTTGTTTGTTACATGTAGCTTGTGTGGGTAACTGTGTTTTATTTTTCTAGGATCGTGCGTATCATTGCAACGAGGAGCAATTTATGGCTACCATGCGTTCATATAAGATACTTGAGCGATACCGTATAAATGAGCTACTTTACTGTAGTAAGGTATGTTGTAATGTTGTTTTCTAAAAGGAAATGGCTTAACCCTCCTATATTAAATTTATAATTATTGTTTGTTTGTGCATTATTTCAGATTCATGTCCAATTTTCAACCTCACGTTGACCCGCTTCTATCTGGCGGTCTTTAACTTGGAAACCAAAGAAATTGAAATCTGGGACTCATTACCAGGAACTCATAACCAAGAATATGATGCAAGGATGCAGAAACTGGTTTGCATCTTGTTCTTCAAGTTTTCAAACTTGACTTATTGCTTAGTTGTTAGTTGTTTTTCATTTGCCGACTTTGTCGTTAAATATCGATGAGGGGGGGTGTTTTCATTTGTAGAAATTGGGTCTAGACTTGTTGCTTCAGGAGGATATCTGCGGGGCGTTTTCATTTGTTGACTTTGTGGTTAGATATCGCCAGGATGTTGCTTACCAACCAAATGGGTACCCTTTGTTGTTGGTCAATTGTGCACTGTTCTAATTAAGTTCGGTAATTATTTGTTCGCATCATGACCATGGTAATTATTTGTTACACTACAAATTTTATTGTGGACTATTTGTCGCCAATTACTTGCTGGATCCAGATCGATATTCCAAGAAGCTTGACCAGTTTGACAGTGACTATGAACGGGCGCAACTTACAATGTACTTGCACACTACGCATTTGAATGAGGTGCAAGCTACAATTAAGGCACAATCAGATGAATATTTTGAGAGTCATGCGAGACCTGCCCAAATTGAGACTGAGAAGCTGAATTTCAAGACGAACTTACTCAATCGAGGAAGAAAGCCGTTGCACGCGCATGGAGAGAAAAAGGGTAGAAAGTCTAAGAAGCATTGAGAGTTGTGTTGTTAATGTAGATTTTAGTTAATGTGGAGGTTGAATGAAGTTTAGGAAAATGTAGATGTTGAATGAATTTTAGTGAATGTAGATGCTGAATGAAGTTTAGGAAACTGTTGAAATTACAATGAAGTTATGAATGAAGCATTATTCAGTGATGTTCTCTTTTCTCTATACTATGTTTAATGTGTCGACAATGAAGAAGTTATGAATGATCATATACTGAAAAATGGTTGAAAATGGACCTTATTCACCCTGCCAGCAGGCTGTTTCACGGCCTCAATAATCCACTCTCACGGTCGTGAGATTGGGATGTGAGATGGTGATTTCTCTTACTCCTTAGGATGGACCTTTCACGCCCGTGAGACTAGGCCCTGAGATGGGTTTTTTTATAACGCCTTAATGATGGGAACTTCACACCCGTGAGACTGGGCCGTGAGAATGAAAAAATCATTCCCTATAGTTCAGGTAACCTCACGGTCTTGAAAGGACAATCTCGCACCCGTGAGATTGTGGGCGGGCGTGAGTTAGTGAATAAAAAATGTCATTTAGAAGGATCAAACCCGAGCATTTGGCATAATCATTCAGCGCATTAACCAGTCAGACTACCTAACATGTTTTGCAAAATTCATTGTCTGTTTTCCTTTTACTACATATGGTTGAATGAGCGTTTGATTATCGGTTTTGGGTTCAACCCATGTAATTGTAAACCGATGTGAGATTGAGGTTAGGTATATGGGTGAATTAGCGTTTGATTATCAGTTTTGGGTTCCACCCCTGTAATTGTGATCCGATGTGAGATTGGTTGATGATATATTGTTTAGTGAGTCTTTGATTACGGTTTTTGGCTTGAACCCATGTAATTGTGAACCGATGTGAGATTGGTTGATGATATATGGTTTAGTGAGTGTTTGATTACAGTTTTTGGGTTGAACCCATGTAATTGTGAACCTATGTGAGATTTGTTGATGATATATGGTTTAGTGAGGATTACAGTTTTTGGGTTGAACCCATGTAATTGTGAACCGATGTGAGTTGGTTAATGATATATGGTTTAGTGAGTGTTTGATTACGGTTTTTGGGTTGAACCCATGTAATTGCGAACCGATGTGAGATTGGTTGATGATATATAGATTAGTGAGTGTTTGATTACGGTTTTTGGGTTGAACCCATGTAATTGTGAACCGATGTGAGATTTGTTGATGATATATGGTTTAGTGAGCGTTTGATTATCGATTGTGGGTTCAACCCATGTAATTGTAAACCGATGTGAGATTGAGGTTAGGTATATGGTTGAATGAGCATTTGATTATCGGTTTTGGTTTCAGCCCATGTAATTGTGATCCGATGTGAGATTGGTTGATGATATATGGTTTAGTGAGTGTTTGATTACGGTTTTTGGGTTGAACCCATGTAATTGTGAACCGATGTGAGATTGGTTGATGATATATGGTTAAGTGAGTGTTTGATTATGGTTTTTGGGTTGAACCCATGTAATTGTGAACCAATGTGAGATTGGTTGATGATATATGGTTTAGTGAGTGTTTGATTATGGTTTTGGGTTGAACCCATGTAATTGTGAACCAACGTGGGATTCGGTTTACGGTATATGGTTGATTGACATTTGATTATGATTTTAGGTTGTACCCATGTACTTGTGAGCCGGCGTGGGATTGGGTTTACGGTATATGGTTGATTGTCGTTTGATTATGGTTTTAGGTTGAACCCATGTACTTTATATGGTCGACTGAGCGTGTGACTATGGTTTTGGGTTTAACCATCTAATTACAAACCGATGTGAGATTGATTTACGATATATGGTTGATTGAGAGTTTGATTATGGCTTTGGGTTCAACCCATCTACTTGTGAACCGATGTGAGATTGGTTGAGAGTATATGGTATAGTGAGTGTTTGATTATGGTTTTGGGTTTAACCCATCTACTTGTTAACCGATGTGAGATTGGTTGAGAGTATATGGTTTAGAGAGTGTTTGATTATGGTTTTGGGTTTAACCCATCTACTTGTGAACCGACGTGGGATTGGGTTTACGGTATATGGTTGATTGACGTTTGATTATGGTTTTGGGTTGAACCCATTTACTTTATATGGTTGACTGAGCGTTTGACTATGGTTTTGGGTTTAACCCATCTAATTATAAACTGATGTGAGATTGATTTACGATATATGGTTTAGTGAGTGTTTGATTATGGTTTTGGGTTGAACCCATGTACTTGTGAACCGACGTGAGATTGGTTGAGAGTATATGGTTTAATGAGTGTTTGATTATGGTTTTGGGTTGAACCCATGTACTTGTGAACCGACGTGAGATTGGGTTTACGATATATGGTTGATTTTCGTTTGATTATGGTTTTGGGTTAACCCATCTAATTATAAACAGATGATTTTTTGGGTTGGTCATAATGAATAAATTCCTAGATCCTCAACCCTCACGGTCGCAAGTCGTAATAGTGATGTCGTTTCTTCCTTCTCGCCCTTCGTCGGCGCCAAAGGACTGATCCTCGGTTCCTCCCTGTCGACTTCTTCCTTCCTGCTTCCCTCCCTCCATCCCTGCCTCAGTTCTTAATTATCGTACTTCGTCGGCTCCTTCTCCACCAATATTACGAAACCAGATTCTTCCTATCTCCCTTCCTTCGTCTTCCCTTCTCTACGCAACCATCGATTTTCCATTCTCCCTTATTCGCCCATCCTTCGCCACCTATCCTTCACGATGGAGACAGATCGTTTCTAGCCGAGACGGTGAGGAGTCAAAGAGAGCAAGTGGGTTTTAATAGGTAAGGGCATGCATGATTTTTCGTGGGGGGTTTTAGTTGTTAAGGGTTCTTATTTGGGTTTTCTGTTTTAATATATGGGTTTAATGGTTCGGTTGAGGGGAAGAGACGAAATTAGTGTCAATAGGGTAAGAAAAGGCTACCGCCGGCAGCTCTGAGCTTTGTCGGCGGCAACGCCAATGACCAAGGGGAACTTTCCTTGTGGGTTTTCGGAATTTGAAGTTTAGTACTAGTTGTGTGTTGAGATTATGCCTATTGTGTTTGCGAATTTTGAGAAATCCTGTATGTATAGTTGGGTTTTGAGACTGAAATTATGATGGTTATGATGGTTTTGGGGCTGGAAATTGTGTTTCAGTTTAGCTGTGGTTATTGTGCATAGTTTGGTATGTGGAAGTTTGTGGTATGTTATGGTGGGTTCGAAGATTGGGGATTGTGGTGGCTTCAAAACTGTAAATTGTTGGCAGTAATTGTGGTCATGTTGTTTGAAAAGAGGATCGGTTCTGGTTGTTTCTTTGTTGAATTTGGTGGGTGTTGTGAATTGTGATCTTGCTTGGCTTCATTTCATTTGTGAATGGTTGGTTTGTTGCGGAATTGAAGGGGAAACTATCGAGCTGAGTTTGCTTAACTCGGACTTGCCTCATATTTGTTTCGTAGGTAATGGATGCTTGGTAGGTAATCAATCCCAGAGCATTATCAGTAGTAGTATGTTAGTTAAGCTTGGTAGGTAATTGATGCTTAAAGATGCACAGAAACTATGTGGCTTATATGAATATGCCTCTAATATTTTTTCGTTGCTTGTTAATTGATTAGTGAAGTGTTTGATTCGGTCGGTTGTGGGTGGTTAATATGTGGATTTCAATTGTCTCTAAACTTCATTTTGTTGGTTGTTTTCAGTTGATCAACTATGAAAGGTTTGATGGATGATATGAGCACAGGCAAGGACACAGGAATTGATTTGAATGTTGGTTTAGATTGGGGAATGGATTATGGAGATCATACCGGTGGTGTTAGAGATAGTGACGATATGGAGGACAATGTCGACACCCGCGATAGTGATTCTGAGGATGATAATAACACTAACATTGGCGATGATGATAAGGAGAACATCTCATATGAGCATTTGCACAGCTTCGAAACACAGCCACACAGCTCAGATGCACCTCTACACAAAGATGCTGCAAATCCAGCCATGGCTCCACCGTACTCGAGTATGTATGACTAGACCCTGCTTGATAAAGTCGGGAATGGTAAGCCATATTCTAAATGGGCGTCGGATGATGTTGTGGGTTATGAGTTTGAAACCCTTGTGGAGGCTGGCAAGTTCTATTCAACTTATGGTTGTGCCATGGGATTCAGCGTACGAAAGAACACTCACACATATTCAAAATATGGAGTTAGAAATATGCAACGATGGGTTTGCTCACGCGAGGGGGAGCGTCAACCAGTGCACAATGACAAGGAGAACAGAAAGCGTGAACCTAGGCCTGTAACAAGGCTCCATTGTCCGGCTGCTTTGAAAGTCAGTTTTGTTGAGGCAACTAACCGATTCAAGGTGAAGCAGTTTGTACCAACACATTTTCATCACTTAGCTGGAGCACATGAAGTGCAGTTTTTGAGTTCTCATCTCAAGATAGAGGACGCAAGTAAGGCTCAGATTCGATCACTTAGGGGTGCTGTTTTTCGCACCAATCAAATCATGGATTATCTAATGAATTGTGTGGGAAGCTTTCAGAACTTGGGTTTCACTAAGACCAATGTCTACAATTTTTTTAGTCCGGATCGGAGGTCGGAGATCTTGGATAGTGATAGTGAAGCTGCACTTGCCTACTTACAAGCACGGGCAACTACCGATCCTCGTTTTTATTGTAGATATACAGTAAGTGATGGTGGCGAACTAGGCAATATGTTATGGGCTGACTCTACTTCACAATTGGATTATAGTATCTTTGGAAATGTTCTTGTTTTTGACTCGACGTCAAGACTAATGCATATAATCTTCCATTTCTTCTATTCATTGGTGTGAATAATCACAATGCAAGCACTGTTTTTGCATGTGCTTTACTTGCGGATGAAACGGCGGAGAACTACTTATGGATTCTAAATGCTTTTTTACATTGCATGGGTGGTAAGAAGCCAATCGCAGTTATAACAGATGGTTGTTCTTCAATGAGGAAAGCTATCAAGTCGGTTCTCCCTGGATCCCGACATCAGTTATGTTCTTAGCACTTGGGCAATAACGCAGAAGCGCGTGGCCATGTGGAAGGCTTCCGGGAGGAATTCAAACAATGCATGCTAAACTGCAGTTCTATTCCACAATTTGAATCTACGTGGAAGGAAATTTTGTCCAAGTATGACCTGGAGCACAATGCGTGGATGAAGAAGATGTATAGGCGACGAGCTCTATGGGACACAACTTACTTGAAAGGTACTTTCTTTGCTGGGATGACTACGTCACAACGTTGTGAGAGCATGAACTCTTATCTAGACAAATTCTTGCAAAGTAAGATGAAGTTGTTTGAGTTTGTGAAGCAGTTTGACATGGCACTTTTGTATAGGAGACAAACTGAGTTACATGACCAGTTTAAGACAATACATACTGATGTTGTTTTGATGACACATTTACATGAAATTGAAAGACATGCCTCTATAGTATATACAAATACAAGAAATGTGTTCAGGAGCGTTCGAGCAGAAATAGCGAGAGAAGTGCATTACTATATTACAGACAAGTGTGTGTTGATCAATAAAACAATTTACACATTGTCACGATTCAAATACCCTGACTCAAAGTGCACCGTGGTCTTTTACACGAGTGGACATGATGTGCATTGTTCTCGTGGCATTTTTTAATTCTGCGGAATTCCATGTCGGCATATATTCTGTATATTGAAAGCAGAAAATCAAATACAAATTCCAAAGTCACTCATTTTGAAGCGTTGGATTAAAGATGCAAAAGAGTTCGATCCCTCGAGTATGGGAAGCTGTCCTACCTAGCAAAATATTACAGGTATTATAAATTTAAGCTGTTGATTTAGTTCTTTGTTTACTTCTATTGTGCTTGGAACCAACTACAAAAGTGCTTGTTTATTTGGACATGTTTGGATTCTTGGTTGGTCAATGTAGTAGAATGTGCCATTATGCTATGAGTTCGGATGAAGCATTTCATACTGCCAAAGGGTTGATTGAAGAATTGACGTTGCGAGTGAAGACAATAAGTGAAGAAACAACCAGCAAAACAAATAATGCTACTACGGATGCTGGAGTGAATTCTTCTCGGTTTATTAAGGACCCCCATCCAGCTCGAAGTAAAGGGAATGTGAAGCAACCTCAAGTGAAAACACGGTTGTGCAAGTATTGTAGGCTTCCTAAACATACAATCATAAATTGTCTGCTGAAAAGGATGGCTGAAGCAGGTGCAGGTGATAGTCATTTCACGCAACAAGAATACAACTTCGAGTCCATAGGAGCAGGTGAAAGCAGCTCTCATGTGGGGACTCAAGAATCTGTTCTACTTCCCAAACGATCCAAGCACAACCTGTAATGCTGGTGTTCGGCTTCAAACACATTATCTTTCATCTTGTAATGTTTGTTTTGTGCAAGTTAGTATCTAGTGACATTGAATGAATCTATGTAATGCTCGTGTCTAGCTTCAAAGAACATTATGACTCTTCTTTTCATAAGCTCGTAGTTTTCAAAAACAGTATATTATGTTACCTACACCATTATAATAAGTACAGGGGTTAGTTCTATAGGTGAATGTTTGTGCATACTATTTCTAGAAATCTCACGGCCAATTCTGGAAATCTCACGGCCGCGAAAGCAGGCGTGTTTTTGGATTTGAAATTCTGGAAATATCACGGTCGTGAGAGAGGCCGTGTATGTAAAAATGCACTTCTCAGTTTCCCAGGGGTTTTCACGGGTTGGGTTCGACAATATCACGGCCGTGAGATGAGCCGTGTTTGTGGAATTGAAATGTTGGATTTCTTACGGCTCATCTATAAATTCTCACAGGGGTGAGATTAACCCGTGAGATGTTCGCAGCTCATATGGAAACCTCACGCCTCATAACCGATGTTGGATTTCTCACGCCTCATAACCGATGTCTCACGGCCGGGAGATGAACCGTTAAATTAAACAAAAAAGGAGCATCCCGGGGAGTTTCACGGTTTTGAGTTGGTAATATCCCGCCCGAGATAAGGAGCCGTGAGATGGGAATCCTAAAAACTAACCTATGCAGATTAGAATTTGAAACCCCCCCCCCCGGCCCCTATTTTGTTTGAACCCTCTTCTCCCCCGACCCCCAACCCTCTACTCCCTCTCTTCTACTTCGACCCCCAACCCTCGCCCGCCCTCGATCGCTCGCCCTCGCTCGCTCGCCTCAAAGATTCTTCCGCCGCCGACCACTTCCCCATGACTCCTCCTCCTGGTAACTGCTTCAGGGTTCAGCGGCGACGGCGACCATTTCCCCACGAGTCCCTGCCCTCTGTTCCACTTTGATCCCCACAACGCCTCTCGTGAGTTCTTCTTAGCGGCACTCTTCTCTGGTTTCTTGCATTTTTTAGGGTTTAGTTGCCCAAGGTTGGTTTGAATTAGGGTTTGAATTCCTAATTGTCATTACATTCCTAATTGTTCTGATCCTACATTGTATGTTACACTAGAACTTGCTGTCTCCCATGTTAAAGGCATACATTGTATTCAACACTAGAACTTGCTGGTTCAGCAGCTTCTCAATGCTCATTGGATTGGTGGGATGAATTCTCCAGAAGGCTTCATGGTTTGTTCTTCTTCTATCTTCACCTCGCAGCAGCCTCCTGAATGTCATTCTACTGTTCTTGCAATGCCCTCTCTTTGTTTTTTGGTATTTTCTTAGTGCTGACTTAACTGTTCTTCATAATGGCAGGAGTTCAAATTGCAGGGTGTAGCAACTAGCCAACTACAATTATAAGGCCAAACAGAAGACTTCACTGAGTATTATTCACATTCATAATCTCCACTCTTTATTTTTACTTTCATCTGAAAAAAGCATAAATCTTTACAAACAAAAGCATATCTGTACAAATCCATTCTGGCTAACCTTTATGCTGTGAAATCATCATATTCATCTTAGTGTGACATAGTAATGTGCTACTTGATCTTGGTATTAGAATGCTCCTGGGATCTTCTCCCTTGACGTCACATTGAGTATTCCACCTCGTCGATCTCTAAGGAAGGAAGCAAGGAGAACAAATTTTTCAAGCTCGATACTATCCTTGGACAAGGAAGGAAGCAAAGAGATGGAGATCAAAATACAGAGAGATTGAAATACATAGATAGAAGTTTTGAGTGGGAGGGATGCAATGGGTGAAAGACCCCTGACCAAGGATTGCATCTAGCTTGGAAAATTTGTTCTGTTCGATATCACCCCATCTCCAAGGGGAGTTACGATAGTAGAGGATACCTTGGAGATCGACGAGGATGGAATACTCAAAGAGACGTCAAGGGAGAAGTCTGTAAGTCTATATCTTCCCGTATCTTTGTTGAAAACTGGAATGCATACCAGATTCCTTGATTTGTGAATTGCTATGTGGTTAAGAAAAAACCAGAGAATGCTCCTGGGATTAGAATGCTCCTGGGTTTGATTGGTGAATATATTTTCTTCCAGTATCTTAACCACATTTTTTGGTGTAGACGTGATTAGAATGCTCCTGGGATCTTCTTCCTTGACGTCACATTGAGTATTCCACCTCGTCGATCTCTAAGGAAGGAAGCAAAGAGAACAAATTTTCCAAGCTGGATACTATCCTTGGACAAGGAAGGAAGCAAAGAGATGGATAACAAAATACAGAGAGAGATTGAAATACAGAGAGATCGAAATACATAGAGAGAATTTTTGAGTGGGAGGGATGCAATGGGTGAAAGACCCCTGCCCAAGGATTGCATCTAGCTTGGAAAATTTGTTATGTCCGGTATCACCCCAGCTCCAAGGGGAGTTACAATAGTAAAGGATACCTTGGAGATCGACGAGGATGGAATCCTGAAAGAGACGTTAAGGGAGAAGTCTGTAAGTCTATATCTTCCAGTATCTTTGTTGAAAACTGGAATGCATACCAGATTCCTTGATTTTTGAATAGCTTATGCATAATTCTTTTCCCTCTCATTCACTAAAGACTAAATGTGCTTAGTTGGTTTTTGTAGGAATGGGGAAAGCTAAACAAAAAACCACGCAACCATCAGCCTCACCTGCCAAAGTGAAGGCTCCTTCTCTTCGTCGC